GCCAGGGAGCTGACCCACATAGAGTGCAGCAGATCTCTCCTGTCTCACCCACTGCTCCCCTCAGCTGTGTATCTCAGTTGGTTGCCTCTGCCTGTTCTGCTCCCCACTCTGTCTCTGGTGATTCCTCTCACCCCCTGTACCTCTGGCCAACACCCCAGTTCTTCTATGCATACATTTTTTTAAATCTTTATTTAAAAAACCAAATTGGCAGAGTTCTTTTTGCCACATAAGGTAATATTCAGAGACTTAGGAAATTAAGACATGGACATCTATGAGGGAAGCACTTTTCAAATGTCCTATAGGATGTTTGTATGTTTTAATTTGCTTAATTTTGCCATTGTCATTTTTAGTTTCTTCCAGTCAACTCTGTTTCTAGGACCCATCTCATTGCTATATATGATAAAGTTAATATCTTAATAATTGTTGCATAGTATTCCATTGCAAGTATCCCTCATTCTATATAGCCCACTTCTACAAACAATGCTAGAGATTATCTCCTTACATGGTCACAGATACCCTGAAAACTTATTTTAAAACTTTTCCACTATACATATCAAGGAGTAGATTTTCTGGGTCAAGATTTATGCATATTGAACTTTACTACCACCAAAATATTTTCCAGAAGTTCTGTAACTTTTTACACTCTCAATACTACTACTTAAAATTTCTTATCGTATCTATCCTCTCCAACACTTGATAGTATCCCACTTTCTAATTTTTTATACTTTTATTTTAGTGGACTCTTGGTTATATTAAATTGTATCTCTCTGATTACTAGTGGTTTTGAATGGTGCTTTGTATTCACTTTACCCGATAGACCTTCCTCCTCTCTGAAATACCTACTCACATTCTTTGTGCATTTTTTCCTACTAGTGTTCCTGTCTATTCTTGTTAATTTATAAGACCTTACTGCATGTTAATTCCATTTCCACTTTAGACATTGCAAATATTACCCTTTGGTCTTTGAGGAATATGATTGATTTTCTATCTGGCAACCTTAATGAACTCTCGGTTTTCCTAGCTTGTCTATTGATTCTGTTGGGTTTTCTATAGAGATAATTATGTTTTCTGCAAATAAAAACAGTTTTATGTATTCCCTTTCAGTTTTTATACTTAATGTTTTATTCTTCTTCTTTGGTTTTGTTTGATTTGTCTTTCAGTGTATAGAATTTCCAATATTATATTAAGCAGGAGCAGGGTCAGGAACAATCTTGACTTGTGAGAAAGTGTTGGAAATTTCTCCAGAGAGTAAATACTGGGCCTCCCTGAGAACCCAGGGATTATGTCTCAGCACCACCATGGTGAAGGACCACTCCAACCGCCCAGGTTCGACCCCCAGCCAGGGAGGTGACCCACGTGGGGCAGCTGACCTTTCCTGTCTCAGCTGCTGCTCCCCTCAGCAGTGTATTCAGTACATATGCCTGTTCTGCTCCCCTCTCTGTCTCTGGTGAGTCCTCCCACTCGCCCCACTGC